TGTCATGTTTTGGACTAGATGTAAAATAGGAAGTGTGGGAAAATAACAAGAGTTATCTCTCAAATGCTTTGTTAGAGTAGTAAAATTCAACAATTACTCGTGTGTACTCTGTGAATAGATTGAACAACGAAAATTTTTTTCACGAATTTGCACGGGGGAAAAACGAAACCGCTTTCGAACGTGCCGCGCGGTGTATATCACCCGTATTTGCACCCGTTTATTGTCGGCAATGTGTAAGACATTTGTTAACTAAACCCATTGACTAATCGAAGTGATGTCTCAATCCCACTTTGGTTGTACCCAGGTCACCACTTTGAACCGAACGTGAGGCTGAAAAAACACTCTTCAAGCCCGATATATGAACTTCTAACATCCCATTTGTGCCCGCCAATGCCCAACCCACAGAATTTACTATTCTGAAAATTACCCAACACTACAGCAGTGGTCGAAAAGATGTCCTTTGGCAGAAAACTTCCGTCAGACCATTTGATGAGCTGCAAGATTATTGTCCCTTGGCTAAGCCAGTATATCATGAAATGCACGAACTGGAAGTTGTTTGAGCGCATCGGTTACACATATTCTCGTTCAGTGGCGGGACCCACGGGCCATGGGCGATTCTCTGTTCAGGGATGACTCGGGCGGAGATGACGAGTATGACTACCTCATCAAGCTCCTCGCCCTGGGTAAGTTGTGTCCACTCAACGTATTTTGCTTGGAATTATGGAGAAAAATTCTGGCTTCTCAGTATACGCTAATGTAAGCGAACATTGCTGATATTATTACCACAACCTCAAGTCCTCGCTGTTTCCTGTCACACAAAGTATTCCCACCCAGTACCTCATTTACGACGGTATGGTTGTACTTAGTCACTGGACGGCATTTTGTCGCCGATTTGTGGCGACAACGTTCGTACCGCATGCATGTAGATACCGCGTAATTAGCCGGAGAGCGCATATGCGCTCTGCGGCTATACCTCAGGCGAATACGGAGTGTAGGTAGAATAAACACTTGGTAACGTTGCGATGCACTAAAACCAGCAACGATTTTTAGTAAAATCCTGCAGAGCCAATCATGAACTCCTCATAGATCGCGAGAATGAAAAATCCAAAGCTTGCGATAATCGTAAGATCCAGTGAACATTGGACACTGTGTGAGCATTAATCCAATGTAATCCAATGAGTAAATAGCTTCGCAACTGAGCTAATACCGTAAGCTTTGAGGAAAGTATGAACTCCCGGAATCCTCTATGTGATGTTTGGACAAGTCAGTAGACGAATCCTGAACAACACCTATGTAAGCCATCTCACAGTGTATACGCAGGAGAAACCAGTAATCAGCACTGAGGTCAGCCGGATTGTTTTGAAAGACCGTTACCGTGGGTGCAACCAAAATTGGAAGGTGAGATATAGACAATAATTACTAGGCCGTAGCACGCTTTCTGTGCCTAACTGCCATGCCACCCGACGAAAGCGCGAGGGCTGGTATACTGCCAAGATTCCCAAGCGTAGATGGCAAGTTGAGATGCGGAGGCTGGGTTCGAACCATGAACCTTCCGGTTAGTAAATTCGGTCTCTAACCACCAAGTCATCTCGCCCCTTTGAGATTCGTACAGTGACTTCATCCAACACTTCCATATTCGCTGCTATAACTACCGAGCTGGTTGGCATTCCCTACAACCCATGGTGCCTCTTCAACCACAATAGGAATTTTCAGGGACTGCATGAATTTGCGCTTCATAGCTGCAAGGCGCCTGCCGGAAGATGGTTAGACGGGGGTCAGTTTGTTCAACTGTCTTTTGCTTGCCCGTCCTCAAAAATGTCGTCTGCGTGCTCCAGATCGACAACGTTCTTACCACCAACGAATTAAGAACTAGAGTTCTGAAAACCCGCATTCGGCTCATTATTTCATCGATGACGATGCTGAACAAAATGGAGGAAATGAACTTCCTCATTACCTTTTATAGGGAAGCTCTTAGGGAACTCCTCATATACCTTTACACGTTCGGAAGTATGCTAATACAGGGGCCGGATTATGCCCACAAACTTTGGAACATCCTCTGTTGAACAGTTAGATAGACTCAGTGGACGGTCGGCAGAATTGAACACACGTATGAAGTCAAGAAACAAAAGGATCGTGGGTGATATGTGCATATGTTGCTGTTCTCCCGCCTGACGAGATTTGGAGATATGGCCAACGCAGGTCGAACTCCCGCTTGATGCTCACATCAAAGTTTCACGGGCCGCCGTAAGACGAATGATTAGCGATTCCAGAAGCCTTGATACAACGGGAATCCACAATAAAGGTGGGAAGCACTACTCGAGTTTCGCTCTTGTTAGAGTTCATCAGTGCATATCCTTGATTGTGCTGGGGTTTGACCTTCGAGCTTATGACATCTCGGGCGAGTATGTGACCACTATTCACCAGTATAATCACACAAGGACTGGCGAGCGACCGTTCATACGAGAGCAATAAGGGCGTGAACTCTACACACTCCCAAAACGCCTGCGACAAACTGAAAAATCGCCTAGCATGTTTCAATCGCTAACTGACTGGGAAGTCCTGACAATTGGGTCAATCGATCGTCATAACGAAGACAGCTGTTGGTTGGGGTCGTTCAGGGAGTCGGGTAAATCAATCACATCGCTCAAGCGTGAACACGTTCACCTATTCAGACGTGAAAAATTCACATGCGTCTATTGTGTACCAATGAAGTGGTGTCAGATATCCGAAGATCAAACCCTGGCATGGCCAAGGATATGCACCGCTAATGAGCTCAATTGGGAGCGAAATTGAATTCATCGCTCCCCGCTCTGGTGTGGACTCACCAAAATAATTATTGGAGGACATTTGGATAAGTGTTCAAACGAGAATGATGTGGACATGAATTTTACAACGGGAGTCAAGCTGACGCCCCTGTGATTACTTTAGTCATTACGGCTTCTGAAAATGGACACGTCATCCTTCCGACTTATCTGAGACACTTTCACAGGTAGTTCATTTGTAACACCCTTTCGATGCCCAGCTGTCATACTACCCGAAGGAAGCATGACGGCTGGGATACTCCCATCTTTTCTAAGCCTAGACAATGTCGAGACAAGTCGAGATGCAGAGGTCGGGTTCGGAACATGTACCTTCCGGTCAGTAAATTCGCTCTCTAACCACTGAGCCATCTCGTCTCATTTCGCAGGTGGACGCAAACAGACTAGACTGGAAACTGCTGACGAATCCAGCCCGTCCTTGAGTAGAACAGGTGGCAGTTCGTCCAGACCAGCGACACGATGCTTGCGTGGGGATATTTGTTGGGACACGTGTGACGCAGACAGGCTCCCTATTCACAGTCTACCTTCCTGTCAACAGCCCGGAATTTGGGCGGAAGGTGGTCACTAATTCTTGGTTTGAAGTGTTCAGCCAAAGTGTGCCGACGTCCTTTTTTTGGATTCTTGACAGATGGCCTTTGATGACCTGTTTAAGGAATCAAGTGGAACAATCTACAGATATTTTCAGCGTTTTTCGCTTTCTCCGTTCGTCGATTCCATCTAACTTCCAAGCCTTTTGGAATAGTCTGGTTTGCGTGACGTCGGCTGATGCATCGAGTTTAGTTGTGGTGACTACCAGAAGTAATCTGTCACTGGGCCTCTAGCAAAATCACGATCCTATCAGAGCTCCAACATTTGGATGAGGTTGGCTAGGTTGTGCCGCAACTGTAAATCCCGACATCAGGTCCAGCTTTGAACATCCAGTGTTAGTTATTATCCGATATCTGATGGCGTTGAAGTGGGTCCTGATAGGTTTGTTCGATTTGTGGGTTTATGAGCTTCCTGATAGTTCAGTGGTGTTTACGTGTTTTTGCGTAGACCGGAAAATTGCAAGGGGAATCGTCAGTGAACAACTGCATAATAGGAGTTCACGCAGGTATTCCAGGAGGGGTGGCTGACAGTAATGGACCCCCTCCACCCGTAACTGATGGAGATGTGATCTATTTGGATTTATGTCTGGTTTGTTCGTGGACTTCACTTAGCCGCACGATTTCCGCTGTTCCAGAAGTTATTGTGGGAAAGGCAGGGGTCTCGCAGATTTGTTCACCTCGGTGCATCATTTAGTAGACGAGGAAGCGATTTGAGGGCGGATGGGGAGCGAGATGGACCAAGTGGTTAGAGCGCGAATTTACTGACCCGAAGGTCCGTGGTTCGAACCCGACCTCTGCCTCTCGACTTCCCCTGTCTAGGCTTGGGCGACCTGGCAGTATCCCAGCCCACGTGCCTCCTTCGTGTGGCATGGCAGCTAGGCACCGAAAGGGTGCTACAGCTGGACGATCTATCTCTATGGTGAGGGCAGATGAAAGAACTGTAAAGGCGAACGACATTTCCCGGTTTCCCAGCTGCAAACATGTTATTTCTGAGGTTATACTGGACATTCTTGTTCATCGAATAACAACGATAAGGTGGGCTTCAATGCACAATTTGTATGGTGCGTGGTGATGCTTTTTGAACGGCGGTGGAAGCGACTGCGTTTACCACAAAAATTACAAACGGCTTCTCGAGCGGACGCTTTGAACGATAATGTGCATTTTGACCACAGAAATAACGTGTTTGAACGGATTTTACAGAAACAATGATCAGATTAAGGCATTTTTCGAGATTCTGTGAGATGGGCGGAGTCGTGGAGCAGGATATAGGTTCGTTCATCATCATCATCGGCAGCATGACATCAGTGTTTGACATCGATGCTTCAATGCCGTACAACCATGAAATATATACATATATATTTATAGTATAGGGTCAGTAGTAACACATGGTTGCGACTGTTTGTGAGTCAACTCGAGGGATCTAGCAAGCTTATGCTTGATCCAGAATGAGTTTGTTCTGTGTTAGAAGTTTTTTGTGGACGGAAGAGGACACCAGGCCATTAAGTATAGCATCACGCACACGTTCATCTTTATATTCATCCGAAAATACTAATCCAAACTCGTACCCTTTAGCTAATGATTTCAGTTTTCTTACGAATTGATCAATATCCTGTCCACTCTCTTGCTTGTAGGCCTGTAGGAGGTAGTATACATATATAGCGTTTTTGGGACAGACGTATACGTCTCGTAATGTGTCGATCGCAGATTCATAGTCGATGTAACCAGCGATCTGATCGTATACCAATGAATTCAAAAAGTATATGAGAGTTTTACTTTTTTCGGGTCTAGAAGATTCGACAGCTTCCAAATAGTTGCCGAAGGTATGAAACCAGTGATTCCAGCTTTTGGCCGCATCCGCGGAGTTTGGGTCGGCGTCGAAGAATTCAGGTCTTATGCAGGTAAATTGAGACTTTAAGGATGTGTCCGAGAATGAACTAGAAGCGGCCGGATTATTGGGGATTAAACAACGTCTTATGTGTCCAAGGGCAAGCGTAGATGAAGTGAAATATGCATACAAATATTCAGTGCGTGTGTATAGAGTAATTATAGTAAGGAGTCATCATGTTTGACGGAAATCTTTAAGGTTGACTGGAAAAGTTGTGCAGAAACCGCATTTGAGGGCAGTGTAAGGCGAAATCAGTGCTGGGACTTCTAGGGAGAAAAGAAGGCGCCCAGATTGGAATGCAATAGAGGAGTAAGGAAAAATGCTATACGATGTGCAGCAGGTTTGGCGACTCTGTTGTTTGTGCAGTCGGATGGCCAGCGTCACCTGACACTTTTCACTTTGAAGGTTCACTTTTATGCGCGGGTGGGCATCGTCGTCATCTGTGGCGGCATCACCAGATGATTAAACTGATGGGTCGTTGCCGGACGACCGTTTCAACTAATTTGAATAACGTCCTGTGATGTAGATGAGAAAAAACGGAGGTGACCTAGGGCTAGGCTACAATAAATATCCGAGGTGCCCACATCTCCAAAACTCGTTCAGTTAATCTAGATAGAAACTAACAGTATGAACGCCATTAGCGTCGGTTGACCGCCTTATCGTCCAGTGCTGCCAGACCAGCAACGATTGTCGTCTGCTTGTTGTAATCACCCTATATACTCGTACTGATTCACGCTTGTTCTTAGGCTTGTAAAGCGTCATCCTTGGTAACTGGGGCTCTGTTCTAACTTGCTGCGGAGCGCATTCTAAAAGCCACGATATACTTGTCTAAGAACAAGCGTGGATGAGCTGAAATATACATACAAAGTTCCGCAATAGATCTGCAATTACTATCTTGGTTCTTCGACACCGACCCAAACTACGCAGATACAGCCAAACGCTGAAGTCACTGGTTTCGTACCTTTAATACCTCCCTGAAAATTGTCAAATCCTCCAGACCTGACAAACTCGAGACTCTCACTCGAGACATTCACTTTCAGAATCTGCTGGTTTATTGTCACCTCGCTTATTACACCGACTATGAATCTGCGATCGACACAGTATGAAAAACTTCATGTATGCACGGTACCTGCTACAGACTTACATGTAAGCCTGCGGATAGGAAAACTTAGACCATTAGCCAAACGGAGTTCAAATGATTGAGAGCTATTGGGCTGTCTGGGTCTTCTCACTCATATCTGGGTGTTCCGTGTACGGACGCACAGAAACTGCATGTGATTGTGACTAGTGAGTGGCGAACAAAGAGGTTAGTCCTAGTGCTGGGACCTGTGAAGAGAGTATTCAACTTGGGGGTGGAATAGGGTCGGGGGACTACGTGGAAGTGTAAAAGGGGAGGCATCAGCAGTAGCATGTTTTTGCCTACCTGCCCTGCTCTATGTAGCACGTAAGGTGACCCGGCTGGTTACACCACGTGACGGCCGATGTGGCAGGAGGCCATGTGTGCATATACATGGACTGGAACACTGGCAGGAAAACCAGATTTGGACAGAAAAATGACTAAGGTTTTCAGCTAAAGCCTTTGGTTCAAAATCCTGCCTGCAAGTCGGCAATGCGTGGTCTAATACCACCAAAGCAGAGTTTTAAGCAGTAGGTCGCCACGCATGTTCCGAGCTCCAGCCTGGTGGATCAAGTTAGCGAGGCCTCTACCCACTGATCAACCTGGTATGAGAAGCTGTGGGAGCGTCACTCGTATATTTCGTAGTATAGTTCACTGGATTGTGGCGGTACACAGATCCCCCACACCGTGGTAAATTCAAAACTATTCGTGATGGATATACTTGACAGCTATAACTGAGACAAATCCCACTGAAAAATTGTAATTAGCCACTTGGTACTTGCCCTATATAGACAGGGAGCAGAGTTGGATGAGGCGAAAATTCGACCAGCTTTCGGACTAGTTGTTTATTCCTAATCCGGATACCTACACCTACATCTTCCGGTCCGCAATCTGGCGCCTTAATCACTAAGTTAGCTCGAACTCTATGGACATATGGGGTTACCACAGTTGATTCAATTGAGAAGGCACCGTTAAGAACGTACACTAACTGAACTTTCGAGAGACTGGATGTACCTTCAGGAACGGCGAGATGGCTTAGTGGTTAGGGCTCGAATTTACTGACCGACGGAAGATCTGTGGTTCGAACCTGATCTCTGCATCTCGACTCCTATCTATGCTTGGACTACCTTGCGGTATCCCAGCCGTCGTGCTTTCTTCGGGTGATCCCAGCCGGCTTTCTTCGGGTGTCATGGCAGCTAGGCACCGAAACGGTTTACCGCTGAACGATTATCTCATTATCTTCAGGAATAATGAATGCCAGCGGGGTTGTCTTTGTGAACGGTATTGGGAGGACCCGGATGTTTCTTTTATGCCATACTGCTACTATCATCCACAAGAGATGCAGTCGATTGTCATCCAGCCGCTTCCCTGAAGAACAGGTGCAAATGCTCGTTCAGTCGCTTTATTTCCATAAGGCGTTCGGAAAGTATCGATTTCATCCCTCTGAAATGAAGAAACCCGCCAGAACGTTTCAGGTGTCTGTACATTGCAGGAGACTGCCTCAGATGAAAACGAATTACTGAGCCATCTGCGAAGTGGCAGTTGCTCCTAAATGCTGAGCCACCACTCATTTTCCAGACAACAACCTCCCCAGCAGGGCCTCATTCTGCAGGCACTTTCTCCCCATCAACAAGTTTTGTCACATGGGTCACCAGGTATTCTCCGTGTTTTTTAGAGAGGGTTGGATACAGACCGTCTAGCCCTGGTACCTTCTCACGTTTCGGCACGGATACTTCGTACTTTATTTGTTCTGCCGGGTAATTAAGGCAGTGAAGCATCGGTGTTGAACACTGATGTCATGCTGTCTATGATGAATGATGATGATTAAGGTTTACATCCTATTTGCCCGCATTCAGTCTCCAAGGGCTGTGTTAGGGGATGCCAGGTATTCGGCCCATTTTCCAAGTTCGCGTTTCTGCGAGTGAGTTTCCGAGCCGCCTTTTTCACTTACCATGTCACTGGCGGTTGTTGTTTGGTCAGTTGAGTGTATTAAGTGATACAGGGCATGGTTGTTTCCGGTGGCAAAAGCCTTCGACATCTTTTGGGCTTTCATCTTCAACCTAAACCCTAAGTCTTTCTTCAGAATCTTCACTATTTGGCGTCTGAGGGGTTTGCGTGCGCCGTCGAACCTGTTGCCTGCTAGTATGGCTTTCCTGGCATCAATCATGTACAGCGATCTCGACGACATTCAGTGGTTTCGTGGTCGAATTGAAGAATTCGGGCAGGCAGCACTGAATGCCACTAACATAGCTCTTTCACATTTTGCCACGCTTCATCCACACGTTCACTGCCACCACAGTGCTGTTTTACTGTGGAGAGTTTTTGGGCTAGCTCAGTTCTTCGAAGGAGGGAAACGAACTGTCAGGCGTGCGCGCACCATGGCGTGATCGGAATCAAGTGGTGTGCCCCAGAAAGAACGGCAGTCTTGAATTTTGGCTCTCCACCGGTGGCTGATGGCCACGTGGTCCAACTGGGTCCACGGTTGCCTTGTAGTTGACGGCCGCCAGGTTACGCGGTGCGAATGTTTATGTTGAAAGTTCGACTTGCCAGAAACAGTTCGTGATCAGGACACAGCTGAAGGAGTTGATCTTCGTTGTCTGCGCGGCGAGCATCCACTCCGAATCGACCACCCAAAAGCGATTCCAACGATTACGAAAAGTCGATGTTATCGGTGCACTGGCCTTCCGGGATGAGGTCTTCGTGATCCCCCGTGCGTGGTCGGAGAGCCGCACGAAATGGTTGCTAGTTGATGTCTATCTTAGTCTTGTCAGTTTCTATCCAGATTATCTGAATGAGTGTCTGGAGGTGATTGTGGAAGGCTAGCACTATGAGCTATGGGCTCCCCACCCGTCCCCTATCTAGAAAAATGCCTTCCGAACATCATCCCCTCTATGTTATGATTACCATCTCAAAAATCAACTCTTTGTCAGAGAACCAGTTTGCGATACCTGTAATTGCTTCTGATTACGCCTAAACTACTTGACATTTTGTGGATTTTCTTCCGGTTTGTCTGATACTATGGATCAAACATATGAATAGCGCTTTGTCAGTCGGGCTTTGATACATGCTCTCTTTTTACTCTCTCTTCTCTCTTCCACTACTACCCGGTGGCTTGTTGTCCTTGTAAAGATAGCTGCTATTAGCGAAGAGCTTTCAGTAACCTTGTGAGTAGTGTGTTACGTCTGTAGTTCCCATTACTTCGTGGTGGTCCATTTCTCGTAGGCGGACTTCTCGGTTTTGTATATTTTCCGCCCACTCGTCCACTGACATGGTTTGGGGTATCAGTTTCATGCAGTTACCCCTCAATGAAGAGACTTAACTATCAGAAAGTACTTCTTAGGGCTAATTGTAATGCTTTTCTGGTAACCGTTCTCCCACGCGTGTACATTGTAACGTCTTTTTCGTGAACGAATTCCTTCCAAGTCCTCCGCTAACGATCGCGTTTGCATGTCTGTGCTTCAGGTGACTCTGCTGTCGGGAAAACATGCTTCCTGAACAGATACGCAAACAATCAGTTCAATGCCCGGTTTGCCACAACAGTCGGTGTTGATTTTCAACAGAAGCGCGTTGTTCGAGAGAGTCGTGATGCCGAGGGATTATTGGGTCCGAAACAGCGTCTACATTTACAGCTGTGGGATACAGCTGGCCAAGAGCGGTAGGTTGTCTTGATCTAACTCTGCTTTCATTCGTTCTGGTGTGTTCTGATTCCTCTACTATCATTGCACAGCTATCTATGCCATTCGCGAGGTTCCCTACAAGTAACTTGCAGTTATTCTAACCAGTTACTGTGAAGTGTAATCGACTTTCTGGAGCTTTTGGCATAACGCGAAGACGATTGCGCAAGTGAGGAGAATAACCAGTTTCCCGAACTGAAGGCCCTTGCCTATTCCGTGCCTACTCAGAGAAAATACTACACTTGGTTGCTATTAGATGTCAATAAAACTTTAGTCTTCACCGTCTGCCCGAATTTTATGACCGACTGTCTGGAAAGGCAATCAAACTGCCTTGTTTTAGTAGGTTAGCATTAAGAGTGTTTTATCAATCTTCCTTTCACAGTAAAACTTTCAAAGAAACTATTATGATTTTGTGCAGTTCCCCCATCCCTCTGAAGAAATCATCCACAAAGGATAACTTTTTGCTCGTTCCCTTGAGGCTAATTTTTATCCGTTCTCTCAGTAGGCCCTCCAGTGGAAATATCCACTTGGCATCAACTTTCGTTTTTGATTTTCTGTATATTGGAACAATGAATGGTCGGACTAGTCTTCGTCGAATCGCGAAGCAATCAGGATAAAATGGTTCCACCAAAGCTCATCCCGTGACAGTGGTAACAGCGATACCTAGGATACCGAAACACAGTTGGTTTCCTCGTTGCATATCCGCCCATCCAATCCTACTTCGGTGCCTACTTTGACACCACTGATGATAGACTTTGGGCCTCTGCCTAAACCTGATTAGGTCAGAAGTTTTATTCATCTTCATCGACTCATCTTTCTTCAGGTCCTTCACCCATAAAGGGACAAGATACGAAATAGAGAGATGACCCTAGCGACTACAGTCTAAGCCATTTCAAATAGTCTTTCTGTCTCTTTTATTACGGGTTTCCTCGTGTAGCAACAACTGGCCGGCTTACGACGTGTATTCAACCCATTTCTTATGGCTAACTATGATACACAGTGTTTTCTCACACTGCCAGTTATAGTTTATGCGGTACTTACACCTTGAGTGTACTATGTTATCGTTCAGCTGGAGCATCCTTTCGGGGCCTAGCTGGCATGCCACCAGAAGGAAGCACAAGGGCTGGGATACTTCCGGGTTTCGCAAGTCTAGACAGGGGAAGTCGAGAGGCAGAGGTCGGGTTCGAACCTCGGACCTTCTTGTCAGTAAATTTGCGATCTAACCGCTGAGCCATCCCCCCACCACGAAGACGTCGGTTGTCAGACGTTTGGAAACATCTGGTTTTTGGATCGACGTAGTCAGGGATTCGGGAATTCTCGGACGTGGATCCAAGTACTCTGTCTTTTCGGTCTCATTATGTGTTTAGGTCCATACTCAAAACATCTAGTTCTTATTTTATACAGCTAGTTCTTACGCACTGCATCCCTGCACGGTGATCTCACTTCCTTTACTCAGCAGAATTGTTTTTCAAAAAGCATAAGGCTTCGCCATAAGTCCCACTCTCCACGAACTACTTCTGTTGTTTTATCTTCCACTGGCAGACGCTTCCAACAAACTAAAGGCTCCTCTTCCTAAACGTAATATTGGTATGGGAAACAAATAATGTGCTGCAACAACTATTATACCTAATTTAATGCATGGACGGTTGTCATTGGCAGTAATACACCAGTAGCGTAAACTGGCGCTTAACTGTTACAAAGCTCTAGACTGGCACAAAGTAAAAAGCGAGAGAGAGGGCAGTAACTCACAGAGAACAGGCTTTAGATCCCCGAGGAGAACGATCAAGGGCGAATCGCCTACACATTCGGAAACGATTGAAGTACACGCAACTATGCGTCACATTGTTACAACACGCCCTCAGCCGGATTTACCCAATCCAGTCCAGAACACAACGATAGCTGGGCAATGCGGCCAAGAAATGTCACTAGGATTAGTTGCGTGTCGTTTCCTGTAGGGTTTGTAAGCACGTGCAAGGTGAATCACATGGACCTCACCTAGGAAGACGCCAAGACCCTTTAGCGCGTTGCCACATCATGGGCTGCTCTCTGTGAACATATTACCGACACGGGTTTGGAGTGGAAAACATGGTTTCCTTTGGTAGACAATGGTCAGCAATAGCTAGTAGTACGCGCCCCAACAACCTTAACCTGATGGTCCCTATCTGCTGCTCGATCGAATCCTACTCATCACCTAGAACCCGCCTATGAGCCCTTTGTTTACGTACATGCTATAGATCATTCACGCTTGCTATATCAGTGATCAAAAGTGTGAAGACGTTCGAGGTTTTCAAATCGGAAAGGTCATGTCCCACGGTCGTAGAGTGGGACTGTTGTCGCTGTGGTTGCTGAGAAAACACTGAGGAATCACTTCGGAAAAGTTTGATAAACTGTCGGTGGATTCATTGTTGAGTAACGTTTCGCTTTTGGCACCATTGCACATTCAACACAAGTTGCTGAAAGTACAACGTACTTCCAGAATCTCTGGTTATTAGCCACCGGATATGTCATCCACTTCTGTCCGAATAGCCTTCTCAATGGTCAAGAAATTCCTCAGATACAGATTTCATTTGATCACATAGGGTCACTGCGATCTTCAGTTCGTAGACTTACTAGGCCCGGAAGTAAAGTCGGCTCGGGGTTAGCAACACAAAGATAGATAAATATGCAAGTTCGAATAGTTACTCTCTATGACCTGTTGTTCCAGTGGGAAGGAGTAGTTATTGCAGCGTGGCAAATCTACCCAATGGATCATTAGTTGAAGACTAGCATTAGAAGGATGCTCATTGGAGCTAACATTTGAATGGCACTCCAGAAGGGAATAATCTTTACACTCATCAGTAATTGAGGGATCTCCTTCCGGTTGGTAGAATTAGGGACTGTATACAAAATAAAATGGAATGACTGCACAAAATTTTAAATAGGACAAACAGCAAAAGGGATGTACACCAGAGTTGGTGAGCACAAGCAGCTTAGTAAACGCAGATGAATATCGGGAGATAGTTAAAGACTCTACAGTTGCGAGGTACTTACTTATCACTGGAGGTGGAATAGATTCGGAAAAAGTAGAAGTCCTGAGTTAGGGGACTAAGAAGAATTCACTCTACGACAACCGGTGACCGAGACAATGGAAGGCGCCAAGCTTCTCGGTGGCGATAGAATAAAATAAAATAGAGGATGTATTATCAGCAGACGTGTGGAGGGCTGTTTTAGATCAACTGAGTTGGCACATGGCGGTTATCCATAAAGCGGTTTGAGTCTAATGCACAAATCCCAAGCCGACTAAAATCCATTTAATCTCCCCACCCCCTTACCCAATCGTCCTAGCCATAAAGCGGTTTGAGTCTAATGCACAAAGCCCAAGCCGACTAAAATCCACCCCCTTACCCAATCGTCCTACCACTGGCTAATCCGAAACAGATCAGTGAAGCCTGTGAGCCAAACTCGAAAGGAATTTCCAACTAAATTGCTCTAAACCGAAAGCACACGACTCCGAACCCGATTGAACTAGGTCATAATTCCCCCTAAATCATCCTTCGTGCCGGTCATCCACACTAACCAACAAGAACAATTGAGTTACTCAGCATTAATTAATTCTGTCAGGCGCAAAAGACCCATTGATTGTCTGCCTTCAAATCAGTCAGGTCGATAATTTACTCATTTGGCCTTCGTGCCAAAAGCAAACGCTGCTCAGCAATAAGTCCATCGATTGTTTATGAAACATTTCTAATTCCTCTATCGGTCCCAATTGTTTTCGAATCGATCGGAAAAATTTCAGTGACCTTCGTTCAGCTGGTGCTTTAGTGTTAGGAAAGGACCTCTTATTCGCTAAAACGAAACTATGTGGATATCAAGTTTTCTTTGTTTTCCCAGTTCAGGGTCGACAGCATTTCCAACTGGTCTTAGGTTACATAGGGAATTTATCTTACCTAGCCTGTGTCCGCCGTAGTATTTTGTCGATATTGTCCTTAAAAATCCACAGAACATTTAATCGTTTATCGAGAGTCACGTGCAATGCTCTCAATCCTGAAATTACGGTAAGCCTTTAGCTGTACTGACGGCTTTTTCTAATGCCTTGACTTTGAGGATGGATAGAAAGTAGGTGTGGATACACCCGATAGGAAGACCGTGCTTTCCGCGACTGGCAAGCTGTTTCCCGTTTGCACTTCATTCTTCAAGTAGATGTGGACTACCACAAGTTTCCTGAGGTCTATATGGCATTAATTACGTTTTATATTTTAGTTGGGTTCCCTATCAGTTCTATCCTCTTCTACTATCCAAACAATGTACTAAAAGTTCGAGTGAGGTGTAACCACCTGGAAAATATATACACCTTTCAGGTCCACCTCCAGCAGTAACCCTGAAGTTGTAGCTCATACAATTTCATTTTCTTTGCCACGGGGCCAAGGACTACACAGGAGTTCACGATCAGTCTGTTACGTCGGAGACAAGCTGGAGTGCTTAGGCTCGCCGGTCGAAACACTGTGTAAGATGTGTCGTTGAGTGTGCCTACTCGAGTTGATCAACTTACAGATGCTGTCCGAGCAAGGCCACCCAATTTTATTTGAGGTCATTTACTTGGTACTGGTTGATACTCTGCTGTCGGTAACCAATATACGGTGTACAATTTGTCCGCGTTGGTAGGAACACTTACACCGCATCGCATTTTATCCGTACATTCCATGTACGTGAACTATAAAGCTTCAAATCTGACTGACTTGTGGATCAAATCTTTTTTGTGGCAAGTTATTGCCATTACCAGCACACTGTGCCGCACTGGTCACTGCCGTCTTCCTGGATAGGGACCCCGAGACGGTCCACATCAATGGTTAGAGACATTGTCAAGCATGGCCCAGTCGCGCCCTCAATGGCGCTTGTGCATCCAAGCTATTGCCCTCAATGCATAGCTCCCTTCCCGATCCTCTCACCTGACAGCCCACTGACAGTGCTGTATTTATGCACCAATTTATCATCTCCCGCTTGCAATACGCAGCTACCTACCTCCCCCCCCCTCCCCAACTCATCGGTGAACAAAACTGCGACAGCTGCAACCACCGTACGACGAGTACGCGGTTATTACAGCTGACAA